AAAGCCTGCTGAAAGGGATGTGGAGAATCTTCAACCCTACTCCGAGAAGTTTCTCACTGCAGATACAAAGAAGAGGTATGAGTCATTTCAAGGAGTTGAGGTCATATCTGAGAGAATTGCTAATGTGCGAGATTTTCGCAAAAATAATGTCTGGAAACTGTTTGAAGAAAGGAACCTGACCTCGTTTCTGACTTATGCATGTCCATTCAGTAAGAGCCTAGTGCGGGAATTCTATGCGAATGTTACTGCTGGAGTTGATGTGATAGGAGATCCATTGTATCATAAGGTTTATGTGAGGGGGAGCTTTGTAGAGTTCTCTCCGACCATCGTGAACAGATTTTTTGGTCTCGCTAATGGTACGTGTCTGCCAGCCAATGATTTCCCTGAAGGAACAACTCAGAACTAGAGGAGGCTCTCACTGGAACTTTTTTGGAGAGTCGTCAAGGACAGATCACTCCATCTGAACTTCTGTTTGAAAGCAGAGTCTTTTATACAGTTGCCAAGCACAACTGGCTTCCTACAAAGCGCACTGAAGTGATTAAGAAGGAGATGGCTTTACTGTTATTCCAACTTCTTAGAAAGGACGAGGTGAATTTGGGTGTTCTGATATACAACAACATCCTTGCACGCGCTTCAGGTCTGCGCCCTAGATTTCTTCTGTTGTATCCCTGCCTCATTCAGCAAATTGTCATACGACAAAGTCCAGAAGTGCTCATCATGGCTGAAGTTACTGAAAGAATCCCTCGAGCAATCACCATTGAAGCTCGAATCCAACAGGCCAGAGTGAGCAGATCTCAACCGACTGGTAGTATACGTACCCCACTCATGAAACATGCCAAGTTGTTGGTTAAGGCTGAAGGACTGTTCACCAAGGGAATGGAGCTGCTGAGTCAAATCCGAGCAGAACATGACAAGTTTCTCACAGATTATCTGCAATGTGGTCTGTTTTTACAAATTCTGGTTGAGGTAATCTTAGTTTCTTTTCGATTATATTTTTTTTGAATTTCTGCTTTCACACAGGGGGAGAACATGACCCGGGCACTGAAGATGGAAGAAATATGGACAAAGGCAAAGACAAAGTGGTCGATGATAGTGAGGAAGAAGTAGACTAGGGAACAAGCACTGAATTTAATTAATGTCTCGCACTGAATTTAATTAATGTCTCTAATGGTTTCTTTGCTTCTGATGTCTCTAATGGTTGACACTGAAAATACGTTTGATGAATCAGTTGCCTTGCAGAATCTTGATCCATTCTTATTGGCACATGTGTAGACCTGTGTGTTCGTGGAAACTTTGTGTTTGTTTTGTGTTTCAGCAGAAAATCAAAAAGGGGGAGAATGTTGAAGTCTGAGGTTGGAGTCTAGAAGATTCAGAATTTGGAAAAAAGCAACAATATGGAAACTGCTGAAAACAGAGCTGAAGGAAAAAGGAAGCTTGCTTTAATCATGGAAATGGAAACAATGCAGAAATGGAAGACTGAATATTTCAGAAATATTGAAGAACCAATGTAGCAGCGTATAAAGGGAGAAGTTGGAATACTGGTTAAGTGTCGAAAAACTTAAGAGAAAAAGTGGGAGAGTCTGTAAGGGAAAGGGTTACTTGAGAGTGGGTGAGTTGTGTCTGAGGGGGAGTCGTTATAACAAAACGACGAACTGCTCAACTGCCTAGACGAGTCTAGGGTTACCCGGGGTGTGTTGCGGCACACAAGGTGTTTACTGATAGAATTTCTTGTGGTGTATTGTGTTTGCCAGAGAAATAAAATCAGTGTGGAACTGTTTTGTTATTGTGGCTCTTTGTGTGTGAGATACGTTTTTCAGAAACGAATAAAACGTGTTTAACTACCTGCGACGCACCGAATCCGTCGCAATACCGACGGAAATCTCTGTCCCCATCCGTCGCTACTTCTATGCGACGCAATGTATCCGTCCCAATCCGTCGCATAATTTTCCGACGAAAGTTCGGTCGCAAATATCGGTCGCAGTCCGTCGCAATCCGTCTGACAAAATTACCGACTGAAATATCCGTCAGTTGTTGTCGAAATTTTTCGACGGATTGAGCGACGGTTTACGACGGATGCAAATCCGTCCCATTACCGTCGTTGTCCGTCGCAAATATCTATCGCGACGGAATTTCCGTCGCAATGTCCGTCGGTAAATACAGTTTTCCTTGTAGTGCGAGTAGCCATCAAGAAAGCAAAAGTGGGAATGCAAGGCTAACCTCTCTAGCATTTGGTCAATGAAGGGCAACGGGAAATGGTCTTTACGGGTGTTGGAATTCAGTTTCCTATAATCAATGCACATCCTCCAACCCGTGACCGTCCTAGTGGGTATCAATTCGTTATGCTCATTTTCTACCACAGTGATACCCCTTTCTTTGGTACAACTTCCATCCCTTTGCATGCACCGCATTCATCTAGAAGATAGTTCCAAAACCTCCATTGAGCATCAACGTAGATTGAATCCCACCATGAAGGAGGTAGTGAAGAAAGAGGTGCTCAAACTGTTAGATGCGGGTATCATTTACCCGGATGTCTCTAATGGTTGACACTGAAAATACGTTTGATGAATCAGTTGCCTTGCAGAATCTTGATCCATTCTTATTGGCACATGTGTAGACCTGTGTGTTCGTGGAAACTTTGTGTTTGTTTTGTGTTTCAGCAGAAAATCAAAAAGGGGGAGAATGTTGAAGTCTGAGGTTGGAGTCTAGAAGATTCAGAATTTGGAAAAAAGCAACAATATGGAAACTGCTGAAAACAGAGCTGAAGGAAAAAGGAAGCTTGCTTTAATCATGGAAATGGAAACAATGCAGAAATGGAAGACTGAATATTTCAGAAATATTGAAGAACCAATGTAGCAGCGTATAAAGGGAGAAGTTGGAATACTGGTTAAGTGTCGAAAAACTTAAGAGAAAAAGTGGGAGAGTCTGTAAGGGAAAGGGTTACTTGAGAGTGGGTGAGTTGTGTCTGAGGGGGAGTCGTTATAACAAAACGACGAACTGCTCAACTGCCTAGACGAGTCTAGGGTTACCCGGGGTGTGTTGCGGCACACAAGGTGTTTACTGATAGAATTTCTTGTGGTGTATTGTGTTTGCCAGAGAAATAAAATCAGTGTGGAACTGTTTTGTTATTGTGGCTCTTTGTGTGTGAGATACGTTTTTCAGAAACGAATAAAACGTGTTTAACTACCTGCGACGCACCGAATCCGTCGCAATACCGACGGAAATCTCTGTCCCCATCCGTCGCTACTTCTATGCGACGCAATGTATCCGTCCCAATCCGTCGCATAATTTTCCGACGAAAGTTCGGTCGCAAATATCGGTCGCAGTCCGTCGCAATCCGTCTGACAAAATTACCGACTGAAATATCCGTCAGTTGTTGTCGAAATTTTTCGACGGATTGAGCGACGGTTTACGACGGATGCAAATCCGTCCCATTACCGTCGTTGTCCGTCGCAAATATCTATCGCGACGGAATTTCCGTCGCAATGTCCGTCGGTAAATACAGTTTTCCTTGTAGTGCGAGTAGCCATCAAGAAAGCAAAAGTGGGAATGCAAGGCTAACCTCTCTAGCATTTGGTCAATGAAGGGCAACGGGAAATGGTCTTTACGGGTGTTGGAATTCAGTTTCCTATAATCAATGCACATCCTCCAACCCGTGACCGTCCTAGTGGGTATCAATTCGTTATGCTCATTTTCTACCACAGTGATACCCCTTTCTTTGGTACAACTTGCACGGGACTAACCCATGCACTATCTGAAATCGGGTAAATGATACCCGCATCTAACAGTTTGAGCACCTCTTTCTTCACTACCTCCTTCATGGTGGGATTCAATCTACGTTGATGCTCAATGGAGGTTTTGGAACTATCTTCTAGATGAATGCGGTGCATGCAAAGGGATGGACTAATACCTCTAATGTCATCTAGAGTGTAACCCAAGGCCTATCTATACTCTCTAAGCAATGCAACTAATTCAGCTAGTTCCACATCAGTCAAGGCAGCATTCACAATTATCGGGTAAGTAGAGTTAGGTCCGAGAAATTCATACCTAAGCCCTTGTGGTAAGGGCTTCAATTCCACCTTAGGCGCACTCTCTGGGTCCCAATCTTTCTTCCCGCTCGTCTCCACATCGGGCTGCTTGATTTGAATGGTGGAGACCGGGGCTTGATGACTCGGAAAAGGTGATGGCTCCTCTCCGTCTTCCTCGTCCCTTAGCCAAGGGAACTCACGGGCAGAACAAGATGAGGGCTCAACGGCCCTATATTTCCAGCCCTCAAGCTCAATCGATGAGCTGTCATCCAAAGCTCGAACAATGCTCCGGACTTCCTCCCAATCGCAGTACATGCTGTCTTGTACCGCGTTCAATGCCATCTCGAGGGGGTCTGACTCTCTAAATTCATCCCTCACTTCGTCGACCAACGTGTCGATCAGGTCTAGGTAGAAGGAAGACTCTACCAAATGCGGTTGCTTGAGATTCTGATCAAGTCTGAATTCAACCGTCTCATCCCCGATCTTCATCGGGAGTCTCCCTTCTCTGACATGCACTACAGCATCAGCCGTGTTCAGAAACGGCCTACCAAGTATGATGGGAATTTTAGAATCCTCCGGCATGTCCAGAACAACAAAGTCGACGGGGACATAGAATTCCCCTACCTTCAGAGGCACATCCTCCAAGATCCCAGCAGGATACTTCACTGATCGGTCGGCCAATTGCAGTGCCATCCTTGTCGGTTTCAGCTCACCGACATTAAGTTTCTTGAATATGGAGAGAGGCAACAAACTGACACTTGCGCCCAAATCGCAAAGCGCCCTCGCAATCTCCACATTTCCCAATCTGCACGGGATAGAGAAGCTACCGGGATCAGCCATCTT